ATTCAAAATTAATAAATTACTAGTATTAATATCCATGTACAACATGGGTGTTGAGTTAATGAATATATGTGTAAAGTTATTTATGTCTAATACCAAACCTAACTCCAGAGCAAAAATAATATAAAAAGAAAAAAGAAAATCACGAAGCATAGATTTTCGCCATGTCATCATCCGAAGCGTGAGAATCTGCCACTTAGACTCAACACGTTTTGGATTAATATATAGGGAGAGATCAGTTAAGCTTGTTTAACTAAATTTTTAAAGAAAGTTAAGTTGAAATTCTTATTTTAACTGACTTATAAATAAATTTTACTATATCTTCATTATATCAGCTAGTATTTCAGACTATCACTTATATAAATTATAAAGGGGGTGTCTATATGTACACCCCCTTGTGTGTAAAAAAGGGGTGTACATATAGCATTGCCCTTTGTGTAATTTATTAAAAAGGGGTGTACATATAGCATTGCCCATTATAAACTCCAAATTAACGTACAAACTATCAATTAACTTAGTAACTTTTCAATTAAATTTATCAAACAATAATACTTTTACCTTATTACATGGACAAAAGGGTTATTATATTACACACTCGATTTGACCAGACATTTTACAGTGGTGACATGAAATGGATAATGATGGAAGAGTGCGAGAAAAATCAGCTTGTTAAAGGTGCAAAAGGGGCTTGGCGTATTTTAGCATCGTGCAGCTGAGTATCCCATCAGTGCTTTTCTTTTTTCTTTCATTTTCTTTAATTGAGTTCCTTTTATTAGTCATCTCAGTTTTGTTATGGATCCATCGAATGGCTCGACTTATAGAGTCATCTATTAACACGTGTTTTACCATAAATATAATTTGATTAGGCGTCAATTTATTAAGTGATGGACGACTCCATAAAAAAACTATACGACGACTCCATATAATTTTTTGTTAATCATCATATCAATTCTCATCTCATGTTGCAATAATAAATAAATAAAAATATTAAGAAAAATTGAGAAAGAAAGTGTACACAGTCGACACGGTGGTGGGTTCAGCAAGTGACATTTGTACATTTTTCACACACTCAAGAAGAAAACAAAGCTTCAAAACTGCTCTACTCATCATAATTTTTTCTGGGTCCGTCTTTTCTTTTCTTTTTTGAACATTTTCTTTTGGGGCCGCTTTGAAATTTTGTATCTCTCTCTCTCTAGAATTCCTCGGACTTTGGGGCTCTTCTCTTTGAACAGGTGAATTTTCAAACCTTTCATCGTTCATCTGCGTTTTAATGTTTAACCTATGTTTTTCTTTTCAGCTGAATTCTTGTGTTTCTGCACCTGTTTTATTTTCTGAAAAGTTTTTATTTATCTTGTTTGGATGCGGGTTCTTGAGAAAACGATGAATCGTTTTATGTTTTTTCGATTATTTTCCTTTTTTTCCATGAAATCTTGCTCCGGCTTTGACTTAAAGTCTCGAGCTTTTCTCATGTTCTGTTGTTATTTTCGTGTTCTGTTTTAAGGTTTTATGTTGTTGTGTATTTCTGCTTACTTTATTATCTCTTACATCCTGATGAGCTTTTTTGATGGTATGTTACTTGATGAATCATGGAATGGTTTAGTGTTGTGTTGATCGAAAATTAGAATTCGTGTCCGCAATATTCGTAGCTTGATAGTACCAAGAATCATAGAATCGTGTTATGTATTGAGATACAGTTATTAGTATATTTGTTTGATTTTTTGTGATAAGTGTATATGGTTGTGAGCTATTTTGTTGCTGATCCCTTTTTTTTTTCTGGTGCTTGTGTAAGTTTACTCATCTGTCTTTGCTTATTTTTGTTATTTTCTGGTTAAAACTTAAAACCCAATAGTAACTTGCTGTTTAAACATGGTGTTGCCTAATTAAAGAAAAATGTGAAAAAACCAGCATTGCCAGCCAGACTGAGAGGTTTTCACTTTCGATCGAGCTAAAACATGGCTACTGAAAACCCAATGAGAATAGTGGATACCGGGGGAGCTGGAAAGTGGGCCCCACCAAGGGGCACAACTGATTTCGCCACGTCAGCATCGACTAGTGTGGTGACCGACGAGCTGGGCTCGCTGCTTAGAGGAGCGCATAACACTAGCAGAGATCAAAGCGGAATAATTGCTCCGAATCGAAGTGGAAGCGCACCCCCGAGCATGGAGGGCTCGTTTGCCACTTTTGGTATGTTATTTTTGTATCATTTTCGAACCTTTACCTTAACTGGCAGAAGCTTTCAGCATTGGTTTAGTTTAGACTTAGTGATTTTTCTATCTGATGCACTTTTTTTGTAACATTCTTAACTGGCAAAGCACCCATCTTTGCCTTTTGTGCTGGGATTTCAGGCAATCATTGGAGATTACCATCAACCGATAGTCATGGTGGTGGGTTTGTGTACTTGACCAGAGGTTCTCTTTCGACTCATGAAGAAGAGTCTGAAGATGATAGATCATCGCATGAAGGAGCTTCTTCAGGTAATAGGAAAAAGAGTGACGTCATCATGCACAGGCAAAATACAACGTTGTTTGAAGGCCGTCACAAAAGTCTGGTTGATCTTATACAGGTATTATGTGTATCGAGTGGAATGTCTACTTTTTTTGGTATTTTTTGCTAATGTCCGGACAGATCTTCGAGACAGCTAATGGAAGTTTGATAAAATTGGGTATTTCGATGTGCCTTTTTCTAGTTGAATTATTTCTGTATGGAACTATGGCGGTAATTTTATTTTTTCGTGTTCCATGATCTGTGCTACTCACAAGCCATTACAGAGTACGTTTTTTATTTATGAATTTCTCATTTCTTTTTTGTTTTTTCATCTTTTGTCCATATGGGCATGAGTAAATATAGACTGTGAAACAGTGAAAGCGTAGTGTTTCTTCTAAAGCTGCACACTTTTTCGTCAATCGAAACAAGAATGTGTACTGTCTGATAAGAAAATGTATTTGTATTTAAAATTGTACAATTTTTAAGTGGATAGTTTTACTGTGATGCTTTAAGGTAACCAAAAAGAAATGTGTTTACGGTCAGATTTCTTTAGTTCATAGATTCCTCTCCAACTTGCAGGCGGATTTTCCTCGAACCCCATCACCAGTTTTTAGTCAGAATCAATCCTCAACAAGCCATGTCGAAGAACAACTTCACCACGATATTCAAAGCTTGTCGTTAGATTCACAGCCCGAAAAAGTTTCAAAGCAACCTGAACTAGGTGATGCATATGATCCTTCAAAAAACCAAAGAAGGTCTCCTTCGCCACAGAAGGATGAATTAAACAGCAACATTGCATATTTTGCTAATGATTATAATGTGAGTGGCGATGATTCTTCAAAATATCTTCGTAGAGTGGTTGATTATCATGAGAAAAATGATTCAGGATTTGACGAGCTGAATGAAGTAAGTCATGCTAACAACTCCTCGATCGAGATGCAGCCTCTTCTTCCTTCTCCCGGGCCCTTACCTCCCATTTACGCAACAACTGCAGCTTACATGGCTCCTGCAAATTCGATTTACGCGAATTTCAGCTCGTCTGGTTTATACCCACAGTATAGTGGATATGCTATGGGCTCCTCGTTTATTCCTCCATATCTAGCCGGATATCCGCCTCATACGGGTTTCCCTATGCTGTTTAATGCTAATTCAGGGCAAAGTTTTAGCAGTCAAATTGCTTCTGTTCCTAATAGGGAAAGCATCCCGAAAGGATCTTCTGTGCAGAACTTGTACAGATTCTATAGCCAACACGGACTAACCGTGCACCCGAATTTTCCATATTTTCAACAAGCTGTGCAAGATCCATATGGCTTCCCCATGCAATATAGCAACGTACCGTCACCTAGTAGTGTGATTAGTAACCAAGTTGATTCTTTTCCTTTGCAAGATAGCCAATCAATACCCACTGCTTACACGACCGACCAGAAATTCCAGTTATCTCCGAGCAGTAAAATGGGATTTGTGCCCCAGTTTCAAGCATCACCTCTTGGCAGCCCGGTTTTTCAAGAATCTCCAGTTCGAGGAGATAGTTTTGGAAGAAGAAGGTACGATTTTGGGTTTTCTCAGAGTTCCCCCAGAAATTCTGGCGGTTATTATTCGAAGTGGAAAGGAGGGCAAATGGGTTCGGATGGCGTTAATGAAAACAGAAAGCATTCGTTTCTTGAAGAACTGAAAACAAACAGTGGTAGAAGAATTGAGCTCTCTGATATTGTCGGTCGTATTGTTGAGTTCAGGTATATCTTTTTTACCTGGGTATCTATTAAATTTTGATTTTTTTTTTCTATATATAATAGAGTCGAGTAATTTAATTTGTACTCGATGAACTTCAGTGTCGATCAACATGGGAGCCGGTTCATACAACAGAAGTTGGAGACTTGTAGTGTTGAGGAAAAAGAGTCGGTTTTTAGGGAAATTATTCCGCATTGTTCGAAATTGATAACAGATGTTTTTGGCAACTATGTTATTCAAAAGGTAGCTTCTGAGTTAGTTTGCTTTATATGATAATTGAATCTTATTAGTGATAAATTCTGGTCCGGTTGGATTGTGATTTGTGATTTTGCGTTTTACAGTTCTTTGAATATGGGACTTATGAGCAAAGGAAGGAGCTTGCAAGTCAACTATCAGGAAAAATGCTAACTTTAAGTCTACAAATGTATGGTTGCCGTGTTATACAGAAGGTGTGCGAATTATTATCCTTATTCAATATGTAGTTCTTTGTGAATTATACAATTCACAAGATTTTTTTGTGAATTATATCTGATGAATATGAATTGTTCTTGTTTATTGTGAATGTATACAACATTTAGGCTCTGGAGGTTATTGAAGTTGAACAGAGGACCGAACTTGTAAGAGAACTCGATGAGCAAGTGATGAGATGCGTTCGAGATCAAAATGGCAATCACGTCATACAAAAATGTATTGAGTGTGTTCCCACTGAGAAAATTGATTTCATGATCTCTGCCTTTAAAGGTCAAGTGGCTGGACTGTCTACACATCCTTATGGCTGTCGAGTCATTCAGGTACCGGCTTTTTTTTTTGGGTAAATAAATTTCTGGGATCTTTCTTTAAATATAATACATAAATTCTAATGCATCCATAAATTTTTCCATATAGAATTCGCCTAGAAAATCTGGGTAGTTTGATTCTCATGTGGACGAAAAGAAAATACGGAACTTCAAGTTTTTACCTTTGCCTAATTAATAAAAAATGAGCATTGTTCAGGAAAAAAAAAATAGTTTCTAACTTTCTAGAAACCATAAATTATGTACGATTGGATGTAGCCAAAAAGATTGAATCATGACCAGTATTGAGATATTCATGCTATACAGTTTTACTATCAAATTAATTTCATTTTCAAGTACAAAATGTAATAGTAAGACTTGAAGCTGCCTTTCATTGCAGAGAATTTTAGAGTATTGTTCAGATGACTCACGATGTCGATCAATAGTGGATGAAATACTTGAACGTGTATATGATTTGGCTCATGATCAGTATGGAAACTATGTTATCCAGGTCTGTTTCTCTTTGCATTTTTTCTAATAATATTTTTCACTTCGTTTATGTTTTCTTTTCTTGACGTTTTTTTTTTATTTGTTTTTTTTTTTTTT